ATGTTGGGGTGGGTTCTGGGGGTTGCGGTTGAACAGCACAGCGTAGGAGTGTATTAGCTCCATGTACAGTTGGTCTCATGACACTCATGGGTGTTGCACTTTAGAGAAAGACATATCATAGAGCTCTCCCCCAGGACTGAGTTGAGACCCACTCACAATGCTGCTTAGAAGCCTTGTCACAGGGCTCCATCTCTGTGCTGGCCTTCTGCTTCCACCCTGAGGACACTCGGTGAGCTGCTCTGTCCCCAGACTCAGTGCTTCTCCATCTAGGACACTGATGGGAGTAACAGAAGGGGTTGAATCCTGTACCTCAGTATCCAGCCATTGGGGGTGAGGCAAGTGGCTCACTGCCCCCAAAGAGGACAGGGATCATCATGGAAAAGGAGCATGGGGATGATCATTCTCATGTGGGATGGCCTGTGCTGTGTGAAGAAGAGGGTGTGACTAAGCACATGGAATCAGATCAGCTGGCTCATCCCTGCACTGGAGTGTGGGGGGATCATCCTCATTCAGGGACATTGAGAATCTCCCACGTGTATTGTCTGTCAGCCAGGAAAAGCAGACCCTCTATGGAGATGGTGACAATGAGGATCCAGATGAGCAAGAAAAGGCACTGCAAACACAGTTCTTTGTTACTTTATTGAAGCAGAAAATGTAAGAAATTATAGGACACATAAAAATAATTGGGAATTGACTGAGGGGGCAATAAAAGGGGAGTGATCGTTGACCACAAAAGGAAGTGCATCTGCAATCCCTAGGAGCCATCTTCTCAGCTGGGCCTCTCCACATAGTAGCATTGATGCCCCCTGGTGTCTTGAAAAAATCCTAGCGTCCTGAGATCCACCTTGGTTTCTCAGAGGTTTCTGGGGTCCTAAGTACCCTCTGTCACCCTGTTCTCCTCTTTCCTCAGGCAGGTCACTGGGCTCACTCTGACTTCCCAGATGGATTCATGTACAACCTCACCCTCTGCGACACACCCTGTATCTGTTACCTAGTCCCCTCAGCTTCCCCACCCAGGGTACATATTCTGTAGCAATATCCTGTGTAACCAGTGGATGATGGACCAGGCTCCACTGAGGATCCTTCTTTTCTCCATTCCCACTGACAATTGTCCCCAAGCAGGGACGGGAGGCTGGCAGATGGTCCAGTCATTCTGAAGACACTGCTCTTCATCCTTGGGCTCTGGGCACAATACTCAAACACTCTTCTTTCATGATGCTACATGTCCAGTTAGGTGGTGATTCCAGGAAGGATCTCCACCACGGTAAGGCTGCTGTCCTAGAGACTGAGTTTTTGGGGCCAGAGAAACTTCATCCGCATGTGGCACAAGAAAAGGTTCTGGCTGTGACAACTTGTGATGACGACTCAGGTTGACCAAAGAACCTTGCACATGGATTACCCCTTGGTTCTCCTAGACTGCTACTATCCCAGCTCTCTGGATGAGTTCCTCTCTCTATGGTCACCATGGTCATATGCTATGGGTGCCTGAAAGGTATGAAGAATTTGGATGATGACATGGCCTATGAAATTCAACCCCTAAAGTGTTTCTGAAGGATTGAACATGTAGCTTCTCAGGCAGTGGAAGACTCCAATGCAAGGGAACCGATGTATATGCTGGGGTAAAAAGAAGAGACCCCCCGCTCACAGTATCTCAAGCAAATGCCAGTTCTGCCTCCAGGATCAGCAGTGAGTTCTATGAAGACCAGCAAAGAAATGTAAAAGGTTGTCTTATGAGTGCCCACTCGGTAAAACAATGTGTCAAAATGTGCCCAAATTCTGGTAAATCTAGGTAGTTTACTTGACTCCATGATATAAAGTTTCATGTAATGTACTACAACAGCATCATAATAATTTATAATGTTAGATAGCTAACAGCCATGGGCAAACAGGTGGTGCCAGGGACTCCATTCTATGACAATTTTGTAGCCAACATTTATAGTCCTCTTCAGCCACATTAACCCTTAAATGTGATTAGAAATGAGTCCCATGAACTTGGATTAACTCCATTTATATATGATTTATGCAAAAACACTAGCCTCCTCTTGCTGGGTGTTCTGTCAAAACATCATTTATTGTTATCAGTTATAGACAGTCAGTTAATCTTGAGAAGTGTTGTTCTGTTTTGTCATGAGGAAACGTGTTTGCCAGGGGAGGGCCACCCATGTCAGGTTCAGCTACCCTGTGTTGGTAGATAACTTCTGTAACTGTTTCAAGGTGCATACTGAAAATATAGTTAATTAAGTAGAAAACACTGAAGCTCCCAGAGTGAATCCAATTATTCAAATGAAAGTATGTCATTTGCTGATGTGGAAACTCTGTGGTCAATGATGGAGAGCATTGTGACTGTGGATCCTTCAAGCTATGTGACAGCAACCAATGCTGCAAAAGTGACTGCAGCTTTACATCTGGAAATACTTTTTTTAACACAAACAGGTGTTGCAGAAATTGCACCTACTCAGCCCCGTGGATGCTCTGCAAGCCAATCAAAATCTCATGTAACCATTCAGAGTACAACCTTGGACCAATCTCCATGTGCCCTGGAATTTTTGATGAGAAACTACTGCTGTCATGGAATGGTAGACCATTCACAGCATGGAGTTTTTTGGGGAAGGTGCAATGAATGGTGAAGTTAGATAAATAAAGGGCATGATTGGAAGTGTAGAAGTATAATCTTTATTGAGTGTGCTGATTGATGTTGCTGTAGCCTACAGGTGAGAATATTGATTTCATGTGTCTCTGATAGAGACGTATTTTGGTGTGGATTTACAGCTTGAGACAGAGACAACTGATGTTGGTCATGTGGGACCTGGTACACCCTGTGGTGGTGGACAGTTCTGTGTCAAATGCTCATGCAATGTTTCTGTGACTGCTGTAAACTATGAGTGTCTACTTTCAAAATACAACCTCAGTGGAATTTGCAACAATTAAAAGAACTGCCATTTCCATATAGGCTGAGACCCTTCATGGTTCACCCAGAGAGATGCCAGAGGAAGTGTGGGCAGAGGACCACCTCCAAGAAGAATGTGAGCAGTGACATGAAGTGATAGGTCTGTGGTATAGTTGAGGGTGGTTTTGGGCACATGTATGCATTCCTAGCTGCCAGCCTCTTCTGGGTGGCCACCAACATGTAAACTGTCAGGACCACTGCAGTCAAGGAAGTGACAGCTGGTGAAAACTATGACCATTTCTGACCCCTGTGCAACTACAGGCAACAAAGAAGAAACATCTGTGAAAAATCACCTCAACCACCTGCAGAGCCGACATCCACATTTCTCCATGTGTGAATGGGCCCCTGCAGTGCATCACAGGGGAGTGAGAGGTGTGGGCATTTTCCCCGAGCTCTCCAACATGAATCTTGAAAACCACATTATGATATTTTTACAGCATTTGCAAGTTCTTGAGAGCCATCCCGGGGCCCAAGACTCTGGCCTTCAATGGAGACCAGGTCAGCAGCTGGTCTGGACCTGTGGCCTCCGGTCTTGTGATTAGGGACTGTTGCCTGAGGTTCCTTTATGGCCACTTCCTGAAGGGTCCCCACAATCAAGCTCCTGAGGACTGAAACCATCCTCAGTCTGTAGGCAGCCGCTTCTTCTCTCACAAATCAGGTTCAGGGTGATGGGGGGCTCCTTTCTATCAAAATGGTCTTCTACCCACATGCATGGCATTGTGTGGTGGGCTGAGTGTGTGGCTCACTGTCTGCCTAGTGACACCTGTGCCAACGTGGAGAGCACACTTTCCCATGCCTGGGCTGCAAGCCATCAGTGACATTCTGTCCCAAAGGAGGGACTGTGACCGTCAGAGCCACTGGCCCTATTAGGGGGACCAGGCAAAGTCATTCCTGTACCTTAACTGCACCTTTCAGAGAGGGGTACAGTGTGTGCAGGCTTAGCAACGTTAATCCCAGGCACCATCCTCACAGCAGGCTTGTGGGGCTGGACAGCCAGTCTTCTTCATTATCTATAGTGTTTCCAATAAAATAGTAACTTTCCATGCAATATGAAATTAATAAAAATAAAAATTTGTGTTCATTAACAGTTTATTTTAATTTTTAATTAGTATATTCAATGATTATCATATTTCCCCATTACCATTAATTCACTTTATACCACCATCCTCCTGGCAGTCACCTCATAATTTCCATGTCCATGGGTCCTTTTTAAAATAATATGTTTCCTCCATGTCACACAGGTATCGCCTATGCAATTTAAGAGCCAAAAATTCCCACAAATGCAAAGACCAGGGGAGCTCTTGATGGAGAGACACATTCGAGGGTCTTTAGGAGATGATGTTGGGACACATGACTGTGCACACACTTATTTAAACTTCTTGCTGTGACAGGTCATGTGGGGGGAGCAGGAAAGAGATAGAAGGTAAAGATTAGACTTAGGGATAATTAGTTCGGTAGGTGACAGCGGGTTATGTTCGGGACCGTTTCCACATCCACCCAGTAAATGAGGAACAGAGGGTAATGTGTGGCAGGGAGGACAGAGACCTGAGAGGTGGAGACCTTAGGGGATGATGACAACGACTGCAGTGCAAGGTATGCCAGTCTGTAGGAGGGAGACCTGTGAGGACATTGTGTGCATGTTGGGGGACAGAGTGACTGAGCTAAGCACACAGGGGCCTGGACAGAGCAGTACCCTTCTTTGTGGGAGATGTTTCCAAGAAGGGGGAAGGTGAGAGCACTCAGGGAGGTTCATTGCCAAGGAAGAAATAGGACACACAGGAATGTGGTGAAGGAAATGACCCCAAGCAAAGAGTGTATTGTCATCTGCAAACAGTATCACTTCTTCCATTGCTTTCTGCACTGAGAATGTATGAAATCTGAGATGCAAAGAAGGAAGATGTGTCACTGGATGCAGCTGAGAGTTTTAAGAGGAAATCCTTGCTCCCAGGGGGAAGCCCCTTCTTTCCCCACCAGGCCCACACCTGTTCCTGGGTTTGTTCTCTGTGGTCGGTGGGACCTCAGGCCCCCCTACAGCCCAAACCTTTTGTGTCCCTCAGAGAGGTTTGTGTCTGGGCTCATACTGACTTCCCCTCACTGTGTCTTTTGCACAGTAATACACGGCCGTGTCTTCAGTTCTCAAGCTCTTCAGCTCCAAGTAGGCTGTGCTTGTGGACTGGTCTGCGGTAATGGTGGCTCTGCCCTGGAACTTCTGTGCGTAGTTTGCAATATCAATAGCAGGTAAAACACTCCCTAGCCACTCAAGGCCTTGCCTGGGAGCCTGTTGCACCCAATGCATAGAGTAGCTGCTGAAGGTGTATCCTGACGCCTTGCAGGAGACCTTTACTGTGGACCCAGGTCTCCTTACCTCAGACCCAGACTGCACCAGCTGCACCTGGGAGTGGACACCTGTGGAGATAAGAGAGGAGTGGGTTAAAATGTTCCTTTACTGCCCCTGGTTCTCTCCCCAACTCTGAGACTGGGGATCTTTTTACCTGTAGCTACTGCCACCAGGAAGAGGGCTCTCCAGCTCCAGTCCATGGTGAGGGCATGAGCCTTCAGGACTTCTGTAGGCGATGTTGTGGCTGTGGGTGATGTCTCAGTGTACAGACTGGCCCATATTTAACACAGTCTACCACTGCTCATTTGCATAGCCATGAACCAGAGCACTTCATAGCTGATTACTTGACTTCACCTGGAAGAATGGAGTGCACACAGAGACCATGTTCAATGGAAAACTCAGGGTTCAAGTATGTATTAATGTTATTGGACATAAGTCCCCTACTATGTTCCTGAGCTCTGTGCAGACACAGATGCTCCAAAGGAGGAACAAGCCACCTCAGGGAATGCCCCTCATTGTGAACCCACCTTCGGGTGGCACAGACACAATCTATACTTTGTCTGGCTTTGGTAGCTGCATGCCCTATTGCTAGGCCACTTTGTCTCCAAATGTCTGCCTCTACTGAGTTGATCAAATCACCCCTTTCCTCAGCACCTTACAATTCAGATGTGAAGAAGGCATGGAAATACCACCATTGACTGTTGTTCTCATGTCTTCTTGAGTCTGGTAAATACTGATGGAATAGGATATTTAGAGACACCTCATGTCCAATTTTATTTAGATTTTTTTTGAGAAGAGGAAGACCCACGCCCTCAGAGAAGATCCTGCAGCAGCTCCCTCTGCATTTTCTACTAGGGCACTGTCCTTGAACCTGTGATTTCAATGTGTTCCCTGATGTCTAGCAGTTCCCTGCAATGGGGGATCCTGTCTGGGCTCACAGGCCATGGACTTGTTATGGCTGAATTCCAACTTCAGGATACTTCTTTGGGGTTACCAAGTGCTGTAACATTACTGGACACAGGGAACCAGGTATAAACCCCTGAGACAATGCATGAGGCCAAGTAACCAGAGCTCTATGAGTCACCAGGGGGCACCTTACCTGGAGCTTCCAGGTCACTGACACAGCCAACAGCTCTGAGGCCAGAACCTCTCAGGGCCTTTGTGTGCCTCTCATGTGCTCCAGTTCCTCTACTTGAATTTCCTACCAGAAGCTCCCTGCATGTGGTCCTAATTCCACTGCACACCTACTGCTTAATATATCACATGCACAAAAACACAGTGTGGATATTCAAAGTAATGGACACCACATCTCCCTTATCTCCTGTTCCTACCACAGGGTCAGAGTCCCTACATGGATTTTAGGCCTTGGTGTTTCTTGTTAGGTGAGTGAAGTCAACGCTGTGAGGGACACCATGGCTTTTTATCTTTTCTGGATGTCCCATCTTGATGATTGTAATTCTTTCTACAACCTGCCTTATGGAACTTACCACACAATCCTAGATAGAGACAGACTCACTGCTCCATGACCAATAGCTGCACCTGTCAATTGCTGCATTAACCACCCCTCCTCTTGCACCTGGGCCTCAGGTTCAACCATCATGGACATTTCTGCACTGACAATGTCATCACTAGTGAGAACACAGACACTGCTGGTCATCCCTCAGCATCCCTTCCAAATATGGTCTTCCCTAGGGTCGGGTATGGAGGAGGTGTGGCGAGGTCCCACATGTGGACTCCATGTCCTCAAATCCAGCAGCCCAGCAGGAACTGAGTTCTCACTAGTTTCAGGGACAGACAAGAACTTCTGTTTTTATTTTTGCTGTCTGGTGAATGTCACATGTGGCTCCCACTTAAAAGTACTGAGAAAGTCCTATTTCTAAAGGACCTTCGATCTGTGCTGAATTTATCAAGCATTTGTAGGTTAAGTGTGCCACTGCATCATTTCAGTTAGTGCATGTTTATCCTCTGTGTTGATCTTGTGATTTTAATGTATTATCACCCTTGGGACCTGCGTCCAGCAAACACCCTCCTTAGCATATGTGCACAGTAATTTGGTGAGGCAAATAAATATATATTTTTTTCTTAACTAAATGTATGTCAGGAACGTTTCCATGTAAGAGACAATTTGCAGTCAGATATTTTCCAAGATGAAGATGGAGAAAAATTGTTTGCAAGATCAAACACTGCAGAAAGGTACCCTGTGCTTGTCATCAGCTTAATCTGCTGATGCAGTCACAGTGAGCTCTGGTGTCATGCAGTAGTGCTCTATTCCACCCTTAATAAATTCTCAGTCATCACTATACACCAGAACGGTCAATGGTTCTCACAGTTCAAGGACACAGGGAATATTAGGAGACAGTTTTGCAAATTGCATTGTAACATTAAAGTGATTGTCTCTTTGTTTATCGAGTGCCTGACAGTGTTTCAAGGAAACACATGTGGGCTGTGTATGGCACAGTTGGACAAGCTTGCATGTTATGTGCTTTATGATAGCATTGGTCACAGTCCTCCAGAGAATGAGACCCAAAAATGATATTTACATTTACATTTACATTTACATGGAATTGGTGCTCATATCATGGCCAATGATCTGTCCCACAGTCCCATGAGGTGAAGGCTTCAAGCAGCAGACTGAGAACAGCTGCTGTTGTAACTCACCCTGGTGTGATGTCTGATGACTGGGGTACCCAAGGCTTGAGAAGACTTCTCTCTCACCTCCAGAATCCAGCACACAGGCTAGAATTACTTAATTTTCCCTTCTTCTCTCTCTGTTTAAGTCAGTCCCACCCTGGAGGGGAAGGTGCCCACCTGTACTGGGGAAAAAGATGTGTCTTTCTGACACCAATACAAAGGTAAATTTAACAGTAAATTCATTTTGAAAAAGCCCAGAAATAACTTTCAGCCAGGTCTTTGGTCACATTGTGATCCAAAGTAAAACAAAAACCAACAGTCACAACAAAGGTAATTAAGAGAAGAGTTTGAAGTCAGAGATGACATGTATCTGGCCAATGCATTTAGGTGGAGAAGATGCATCCACTTTAGCCTCATCGTCGTGACCACTTTCCTATGTATCTACTTATTGAATGCCAGATAGAGAGGAATCTTCTTGGACAGAGATGAAACTACGCCTTAACCTCCATGTGCTGTGCACATAAACAATCCGTGGGCCCTGGGCATCCCCTGTAGCCCAGACCTCCTGTCTTCTGCATGGAGGTGAGTGTCTGGGCTCACAGTGACTTCCTCTCACTGTGTCTTTCACACACTAAATTATATCCTCAGCGGGGAGACTGCTTAGTGTTTAAATAAACTTGGCTCCCACAAGTGTCCCTGGTGATGCTGAGATGGGATTTCAGCATGGGGATATAGTCTTTACATCACACACTCCATATAGTAATGACCAATTCCAGTCTCCTCCCTGCAACTAGCTGGTCCCCTGCACATCATACCTCACTAAAGAGAATCCAGAGACAGTGTAGGTGAGGGAGAGGGCCTGTGAGGGCTTCACCAGCCTTCGGCTGCCCCCTGCAGCTGTACTTAGGATAGCACACCTGGTGACTAGGATCTTCGACCACTGTCAGTCGCGTGTTTTCAGCACCATCCTACAGTCCCTTGTATGACATGTGAGATGCTCTACATGGTGAAATTGTCACCAGGCACAGGAGGACACCCAAAAGTCTCATCTTCTTTTCAAGTACAGCTCTGCCTTCCCCAGAGGCTTCAGTCCCATGTGAAGAGGGAGCTGTGAACCCCCACAGCCCAAGGAATGATTTACCCTGGAGCTGCAAGAGGAATTTGCATGTGGGCCTACCTTTCTCTTATGAGTGGGGAAGGACTGAGGTCAGGCACCCTGGTCAGTCTAGGAACCTTGGGAGATGCCTCTTCTCTTGAATTCCCTCACCATGTGTGTCATGGATAGGCGTCACCTGGTTTATGAGAGATATTGGAATGAGGTTGAAGGACAACCTCACTTTTCTGGGAATAAGTGGAAATGCAACAGTAGATGTGTAGGTGACACTTTTACATTTCCATGCATCTTTCTGACAGATTCAAAAAGATTAGCACTTGTTCAGAGAGTTTCTGTAACCCAACATTTAAAATTGACTACAATTACCAAATTTTTATCATTGTGGTTTTATGTAGACATAATGCTTACCTTGATGTAAACCTTTTTAAAATAAAGCAATCCAGTTTTAATATCATCTTTTCTTTATTTATGACATCATTTATATGTGAATAACTTCACCCTAAGCACAGGCTAGAGAGAGTCACAATTATTTATTTTTGGAAGATTTCATTGTGATAAAGGTCCCTGTGCAATCTCATCCCTTATGCATACTCATAATATAATGCAGAACCCTTAAATTAATTATGCACGTGTGCTACTGGGAATTCGTTATATGGCAAAATGATTATGGCAGTAGTTTAACTGACCTATTTTTTCAACCTGGTGTTGTCAGCAAGGTTAGTGTTCAGGGGGAGAGAAATGAGTTGGATTGTAGCATAGGTTAGCTCACAGGAAAGGGAAGTCACTCTGACAGGAACCCCTCACTCCCAGCCTCCTTTGGCCCTGCTTCTGGGGATGGTCACGGTGATCAGAGGCTGCTAGGCTCTCCCACTCAACGTATATCATTGTTGATGTATAATGCACTCATTCTCCCATCAAAATTATGATTTGGAAAGATATTCTCTGTCTAGGCTTGTTTTTTTACTCCCTTCATCTAATTTTTGTTGGTTTGGTGAAATATATACATATAATTATACATATAAATGATTATGTGTGTGTGTGTGTGTGTGTGTGTGTATTTTAATAAAGGCCAATACATCACTGTTTATTGGGTCATTTTTTAAATTTAATTATTTTATTTATTTTTAGAGAAGGGAATAGAGAGAGAAAGAGATGGAGAGAAACATCAATATGTGGCTGCACCTTGTGTGCCCCCTACTGGGGACCCGGCCTGCAACCCAGGCATGTACCCTGACTGGGAATCTAACCAGTGACACTTTTGTTCAAAGTCCAGTGCTCAATCCACAGACCCACACCAGCCATTGTAGTTAATGGTTTCTGTATCTCATGTTTAAAAAATGTCTGCTTGTACAATGGCCCTTCTCCATTGTCCATGCTGGTTGGTTACACAAGCCACAAGGACTAGAACAGGCTCTGATTCCAGGAGGGGGTCATTGCTGGAAAAATCACCCACAA